TGTTTGAACATGATTCATTTGAAGTCTTGCAGGAAGAGTGGAATGTAGTGTGTGAAGTAGTCTTAATAAAACTTAATAAAATGCAGTTTAAGTTAACCTGGTAAGAAAAGTCTAAATTATTTAAAATGCCTCTCTCCAATAAATACATCATTGCCACTGTACCATGAAGAAAGCTTTAATCATTAAAAGCAGTTAGGAAAGTGTATCAGTGAAAAATAGCTTGATTAGGTCATTTTTAGAGTATGCATTCTGAATTGGGACTAATATAGCACATGAAGAAGGTTACCAGCCTACTGCTTGCCTCATTCTGCTAATTTCATAGAATCACAGAACCATAGAATGGTTTGGGTTGGAAGGCACCTCAAAGATCATCTAGTTCCAACCCCCCTGCCACAGGCAGGAACACCGTCCACCAGACCAGGTTGCTCAAAGGCCGACTCAACCTGGCCTTGAACACTGCCAGGGAGGGGGCAGCCACAGCTTCTCTGGGAAACCTAATTTGTTGGTTTGTTATGGGTTTTGTAAGATTTCATTTTGTCTTTACAAAGAACAGAACTTTTCATGTTTTTTCTTGTCTGTTATTCTCACACATGCTGTGCCACAGGTCTGTAGAAAAAGAGTTTACCTACACTTTTCTTTTTTTTTCCTGAAATGGTTATGAAAAGGAAGGACAAAAATTTAGCCTAACAAAGTACTACTGTTCTTCAAATTAATCTTTGGAAGAATTTTGACTGAGGTAGATTTAACAAAATCTAGTACCAAGTGCAAAATGTCAAAAATCCTCAAGATATTTTTAGCTTAATATGTTAAATATTGTAACACTGTAGTACAACAACTGATGTTCAGGTTGAGAAGATATTTTTGTGCATAAAGACGTAATTTCACATCTTAGAGTGTATAGCATTATTGAATATATACTTCATTGAACTAAAAGAGAAAAATGCGGATCACAAGGGCTTGACTCTGGATATACGTTTCCACACTTAGAACTGTGGTGCTACAAAATACTACTCCTCTTCTAGTAGTCAAATAAGATAAATTGTCTATTTGCTTTCTGTTGCAGCAAAATATGATACTCACTACAGAGTGAATATTTCTACGTTACTTTTGAAAATCCAGTGATTCTGTTTGATGAAAGAGTTTAATATTAATGATGGAGTACTAGAAAGACCTTTAAGACGTGTACTCAATTCTTAATGATGTACAATGCTTTTTAAGGGTTATTCTTAGGTACTGGTGTAGATGTTAGCGGGTCAATATTCTGCTGATCAAAACATGAATTCTACAATTACCTCAGTGAGAGCAATTAGGAGAAAGATGCACCTGTTTTAAAATATGCTTAAGTATATGTCTAACTCTAATATGTGTTAGTCTAAAAGCTTGCTGTATTCCTTTAAATTTTCCGGAGTCAGAGTCCAAAATAGGAAGGATTTAACTTTGTTTTCTTTAGTACAAGGTGATTATTCTTTTTTCCATTCACAAATAGCAAGTATTTGAAAAAATTCTTTAGCATTAGTATGTCTCTCCTAGGTAATTTTCTCATATTACAAATGTATCTCACACTTAGTTCTATCAGTTAGTTAAAGTTGCTGATACATTTTGCTTCCAGTTCATTGCTATAAAGGTATGCAGCTACTAATAAATATTATTTGAATTGCTTACCTCCAAGTCATATCTTTATGATAGAATGGATAATAATAGTAATAGTAATGGTGGTGTTGGTGATGTTACTAGTCATATCAAAGAATTCTGAGAGAGTTCTGTTCTGTTAAGTATTGTAATTGGAATACTAATCTTTGGTGGAAGAATATGTGTCAGGCTAATTCTGCTGCATTTTAGAAAATAAGGTTACAATTCTTGCCTGTGGCAACATCAGCTGTATTTTACATGGGGATCCAACAATTTTGATTTTGCATTTACTTTAAAAAATATTAAAATATACTTCCAAGATGATTGTGATCCTTGAAAGTATCACTGTGAGTATTTTGTAGACAGTGCCATGTCCCTTTTGTGTCTGTCCCTAGAGGCTTCTTCAATAGTATGACAGTTTGCCTTTTTTCTGTCGCTTTTTTGTCTTGTAAAGTAGGAAGCCATATAACTGTCAGCTACAAGTCTGTCAAATGGGAAATGAAGAAAAAGCATCACCACCATCACCAAAAAGAACAAAAACTCCTCCAGATTATTAAATAAAAGCAATAGATTTTTTTTTTTTCTTGGCTCATTTTAGGAAATATGAATAGAAACTGTTTTCAGAACGTATCTGCTGTCATTGTCTTTTATGGTATTTCCAAATGTTTACACCCTTTAATGCCTAGAAGCCTGTTTTCTATATTTTTGGGCAAGCAGTAATACTGTTGAGCATGATGTAATAATTTTTACTCAGAAGTGTATGTTCTTAAAAGTTTTAAAACTTCTAAAAAATTTGATCATATTTCTAAATATCTGCCTGATTTTTAAAAATAATTTGCAGTATTTTCTATTAAAATGTAGTGAAAACTGATCAAAGATTACTGAAAGACAGAAATTCTGTGCCTGATTTCAACATAATTTGTTTTAAGTCTTCTGATATATTATTATTATTCCATCATAGAATACATTTTATTTCTTGAGATACTTTCTTCTTTGATACTTTAGTGCTGACTTAAGTAATTATTTTCTTCCAAACCACTGGAAATCTTGGTAATTCTCTAAGTTTTTGCTTTAAGAACCATTTCTGATTGTTGTGTGGCAATATGGCTTGAATATGAAAGGATTTTATGTGTAAATGGACAGAAAATCCAGCATTGGATTTCATTTTTAAGAGTTAAAAATATTTCAGGGTACCATCTATGCACCTTTCCAGTATATAGAAGTTTCTTAATTGCTTTTCTGTTGCTGCTCATTATGACTGATCAAGGACTCTCCGAATGAGACACACAATTTCAAATAAGGTTGATCTTTTACAGAATGTGTGTATATGTATATGTACACTTACACATGTTGTTTGAGACAGGAAAATTCTAATGATATTTTGGGTAGAATCATTAAAGACAGCTGCATATTTCTTACAATTTCTATGTTGATTTTTTTTTTTGTCTTTCCATTCCCTCTCGCATTAGAGGGCAGTGTTGTGAATGTACAGCATATTGATATTGACATATTGAAAGGAAAGCAAGCATTTTTAATACGTCTTGGATGCATTCCTTTCATTATCTATGTTACAGTTTTCAAGAGGAAGAAGGGTGGACTAGAAATGATAGGTGGAAATAGCGGATAAAGAAATTTGCATCCAGCACACAAAAAGCTAGCTAGTGGAAAAGTTGCATTGAGTGCCTTGTGTGTTTAAACTTTTCTATTATTAATCATCCTCCTTGTTTAGAAGGGGCACTAAAACCAGCTGTAGCCAACTGAAAGCAAGGCCATGCATTTACCATTTTTTTGGTATGTATCTCTGTTTGGCTGTAAGAAAATACTCATTTTTGCCCTTCAACAGAGTCATTTAGCTATAACACAAAGTTCTTTACAGCTTTTTCCATTTGAGGCTATGTTTTAGCCAGTCAATTTGCTTTTAATCTGAATAATTGTACTGGGTTTACATGGCAAGGTTTTGGTAGCATAGGGGAGCTGCAGCAGTGGCTTCTGTGAGAAGGGATCAGGAGCTGCCCTCATGTTGGACAGAGCCAGGTTCAGCTGGCTCCCAAATGAACCTGCCACTGCACAAAACTGAGCCTGTCAGTGACTCTGTTGGCGCTTCTGTTATAGTGTATTTTAGAAAGGACAAAACCTACTTTGCAGCAGCTGTGAGAGAGAGGAGTGAGGAAAATGTGAGAGAAACAGCCCTGTAGACTCCAGAGTCAGGAGTGAAGTTGAGCCTGGGAAAAAGGGAGATGAGGGAAACTGCTTTTAGTTTTGTTCTTATTTCTCACTATCCTGCTATCCTAGTCTGTTATTAATTGGCAATAAATTAAATTAATTTTCTCAAGTTGAGTCTGTGATGGTGATTGGTCACTGACCTCCCTGTCCTTATCTCAACCTGTGAGCTTTTTCATCTTATTTTCTCTTTCTGTCCTGCTGAGGAAGGGCAGTGAGAGAGATGGTTGATGGACACCTGGCAACCAGCCAAGGTTAACCCACTACAATTGTTTATGTGCTGTAGGCATACTGGTTTTCTTATTGCGGTCTTCTAATGTTAAGTATTTTGGAGCATAGTAACTTTAGTATGAAAATTGTCTCAACATCTACAGTATTCCAAGTGAAGACTCTTCTGCATTTTCATGATCATCATTAAGAGTTTGTTCAAATAACTCTAAAATATTCCACTCATATGCATAAGTTGTAAAGAAAAAGAATGCAAAGATTTTTTGGTGGACTAAAACCAGGGACTAGAGCAAAACTGCATGAGATTTTAGGATCTGCATTGCACAGAAGGTCAGGATACGTGTTGATAATACACTTTTCTAGTCCTTAAACATAATATTCCCCTCTCTTGCATTTTTCTTCCTCTTTGTAGAAAAATATGGGCAACACTCAATGTGGTACTCGTATGCATTTTATTTCAAAGAGTTAAAAGCTAGGACTGTATGTGCCTGTAAAGACCTTTGAGTTAGGTGGATACTACATGCGTTATTTTTAAAAATAAAATTGTGATGCCCCTAAAGATATGTGCAGTCTCTGGATTCAACATGGTATTATGCTTATAACTATTGCGTACAGCTCATAGAGCAAGAAGAAATGCTATAGTTTCTTTTTGGTCTTAACCTGTAGAGGTTAATTAAACAATGGAGTGTTCATAAGTACCTTTATGGAATACCTAGTGTGTTACATTTGTTCAGATAGTATCTTCTGTTGAACAATCCTTCCCCCCTGAAGAAGTGAGGAAGAGGGAAAAGAGAAAATTTTGATTAAAGTAGAGTTGGTTTTCACGTGTGAGATTTTTATTTTGGACTTTCTTTACTACAAACACAAAAAAAATTGGCGTGTTCCATTACTTGTCACTTATAAATTCCTCTGTTCTCTTGCAGTGCACTTGTAGAAGAGACATGGTGACAATATCCATGGACATCTTTGTGAGGAAGTTTCAACCAGACAGATACCAGCTGTGGAAACAAGGCAAGGATTTATACACCATTGATCATACAAAACCAACTCCTGAATCAACACCTGAGGTAAAGACCTGGCTACAGAGAAGAAAGAAGATGAAGAACTTTCCCAAGTGGTATTTATGTTTCTTTATCCTCCATTTAATGGTGTTCAGTATGATGTAAATTTCCTTTTTGTTTCTTCTTTTGCCACTTTCTCTGGTGTCATATTTGAATTCATTTACTTAAGATGAAGTTCGTTTTTCAGTTTTCTGTATTAAGATGAACTTGGGGAAAAGCAAGTATTTTTTTCAGAATGACTTTGAAAAATCAGTTCAACTTAAAAGTTATTTGTATAGCTGCAGTTAATGAGTATGAAGAACATCAAAATACTTTCCAGTGTGGTATTTAGAATCTTTCTTTAGTACAGGTTTTTCCATTAAAATTTTCAAGGTGTGGATGGTTGCTATTGTTTCTAGTGACATCTGCAACCAAAAGACAAGGGAGAAGTCTCCTAAGAATTCAGGTAAAGGTTAAATTGGAAAAACTTACCATGTAGCTGTGGCAGAATCCAAACAGCTATATGAAATCTCTACCAATAGTCTTAACCCTCACTGACATCTTAACTCCAGGTAGATATCACTGCCTGTTTGACACAGTCTCACAGTGCTGCAGTTGAAACCTGTCTGTGTCTACCACAGGTCAATCACAGATTGTAATTTGTAGTAAGGAAGGCCTGAATCTCAGTTGTTGGTGCTGACACTACTAGGAAAATTAGGAGAAAAAAGTTTCTCAGCTTATAACTGAAGCCATCAAAGTTTTGACCTGTTGAAGCAGTTTTGTAGCTGGATCAGTTTTCTTGGTGTACGTTGTGATTTTTATTTGCATTGCACAAACATTTTTCTTACACTCATGCTTTCCTCTTTTACTTAACAGGATCTTTATGGATTTTCTTCTTCATTATCTAATAAACATTACTTAATTTCTAGCCTAGCGTAGGCAGATTTATTGGTATCTACTTACTGCGGAGTGCAGTTTGCTGGGTTAAAGATAATACTGATTTTTTAAGACCTTTTTCCTCCTTCAGATCATTTTACGATGCAGTTACTTTTTTAAACTTGCTCTTAACTGAGTTTCCTCATTTTATTTGTAAGTTAATGTATTTCATGAGGAAAATGATGGGAAAGTCAGCCTGTAAAGGAGAGGACCAACTGCCGCTGCAGTGTAACTTTATAATTAAGAAATACAAGATTGGGTTTGTTCTGGGTAAGAATAGTTTGTGAGGTAGCAGCAGTTTTTGAAGACGAGTGAAGCAGCTAGTTATGTAGTATATGTATCTATATAACATACTAACAGCTAGTAAGTGTATGTGTAATATTAACCTAGACAGAGAGAGAGAGTAATTCTGTGATTTAGCTAGTTGAATGCTGTTTTGCCCTCTAGTAAGGTTCACTGTATGTGTCGTGCAGCGTAAGTGCAAGTTCACACTTGGAACAGCAGTGATTCGTTTGTTGACCCTTATGGATAGCCAGTTGTAACTAAAAGCAAAGACTTTATAATAATTTTACTGCAAGTTTTGTCATAGGAACACATGGTCTGATTTCATGCACTTAGCTAAGCTAATAAACACAATTCTAATGCTGTTTAATTCTTGAGTTGGCTTTTGTTCAGGCATAGTAACAATGCACTTTGCAAAGGGAGGATAAAACGTTTGTTCACCTTAATTTCTAGTGTAATGTCTCAATTGAAATTGTCATTTTTATTACGGGAAAAATACAAGTACCAGCAGAGTCAAAATAGAAATACCATCTATGGAAATCTTCATGTATGTGGTGACAGGGAGAGTTTAACTCTGACATTTATGGCTGAAATACTTTGCTACAATAAAACATCTAATGGCTGAATGCAAACAGTGATAATGCTTGCTGTTATATTACAATGTGAACTGATGGGTGTCTCACATTTAAGCAAATTTTCTGGAAATTACTATTTTATAGACAAGGTGTTGAAAGATATACATTGGTGGACATAGGAAAAATGTAACTGGTAGAAAAATGTTTTTCTGGAGATGTCTGTAGTCTAAGATGCAAGACCTTTGTAAAACTCCTGGTTTACTGCCATAGTTGGGTTTTTTTCACTAGTGTGTTACGAGTTTTGAAACCTTATGCGTGATGGAGAGCTCAAAAATGTCTTCACGTGTCACATAGTTGAATTTGAAGTTGGACTATTCTCCTGTTACTTTTATCCTGAGCACATAAATTACAAACCAGTTTCTGACAGAGGGTGCTATTTCTCCTGCTTTAACTTTTCTCTTCTACTTCTAAGGGTGCAAAAGCTTATGCTGAAGCTTTAATTTCAACTCTTTTTTACACAGCATTGTGAAATGTGTCGCTTGGTATTGTAGCCATTCAAAATATTCAGTGACCAGAATTTTTCCTTATTACAGGTGCTTGTTGTTTGTCTTAAAATGCGTATTAAAACTTAGAAGGTTTATAAACAGATCTGATTTTACAATTCAGACTTGTGTTTTATTATCATTTGGGTTTGGAAATACTACCTGATTTTAATGCAATTGAGAATGTTGTCTCTTCATTATTTTATAAGGGTTCAAAAGAATGATTCGTGACAAAGCTAGTTTGGATGCTGGTTAAGTAACAGCTACTTAAGGTTATTTTGCTTTTATAGTTTAATAACTTTTCTTAGAATTGTGATAGAAGATTAAAAGGTTAAATCCAATCAATTGTTAATCTATCACTTAATAGATTGTAAACACTATCTCAACACAAAAAGATGAAAAATTGTCAGTTTTTACCACTTTAAGCAGGTGAAGGGGACATATGTATTGGTAGACGTTTTATCTTACCCGAGACAGACATTCTGCTCTGACAGCAATATCTCTTGTAACAGCTTCCAGCACACCAGATCTCGATCTAAAAAGCTTAAAACTCCAGAGGACGAGAGAGAATCTGCTATGGTAGCTGGTACAGAAATCTTAGTGACTGAAGCGGTTACTGATGGCTTCAAGGTCAGTGAAGAACCTGGAAAAGTAGTGAGACTGGTAAACACAGGAGTGCCTTCTGGGGAAGAAGAAAACAGTAGAAGAATGCAGCTGGATCAACACTTACTGGATAATGTCAAGGTTGCAGGTGAGATAAGGACTGATTATGTTCCACATGTAGGTTGTAGGCTGTTGATACTCTTAATGCCAGAAATTGGTGGATGTTAAAAGTATAGTATTATCCTAAGTAGCGTACTAAAATACCGAAGTTTAAAGTTATGCAGAGAAGATTGATATTTAGTAAGAATGAGAAAATGCCAGAATTAATATTCTGAGCTGAGTGTAATATCACTTAAACTGTTTTAATGGTTTTTTAAAGGGGCAGAAAGGATGAGGTTTTATGAATTACATTTCTTCGATAGACTGATGTTTTACAGCAAAATTGTATTGATACAGAAATGATACAGAATGCATTAACACTTGTGCAAACAGTATAGAACAAATATGCTTGCAGTATGCTACATGTATTTACATGAAGGATGCTGCATATTAGAAGTGGTCTATACTTGTGCACAAAAATGCTTTGTTTTGAAACTGCGGATTTCTTGTCTCTTCCTGTTCAGCTGTCTGACAATGCAAGTTATAAAGGCCTTGTCAAGCCAAAGATGGTTCTTTTTTTTCCCGACAACTATTTTATACTAATATACGTGGTATATTCTGGACTTTATTTCTTCTGTTTTGCATTTCTTTGTAGTACAGGTGTAGTTTCACATTTCTGTTCAGAAAGGCAAACCGCAGTTTGAGTTTTAAGTTTGTGAGGAGTCCCATTTGGTTTTATATTGATACTGAAAATTTTCTTGCAAATTGTGTATAGAGAGTATTTCCCTGATTGTGAATATTAATAGTTATGTTAATGGTTATTTGGAGATGGTTAACACCAGGATTGATCCACATAAAGATAATGAAGTGAGTATTCCAATATGGAGGCTTATAAATTCCTGTGTAAATATCAGTTGGTGTTCTATTAAAGTCTTTCCAGGTCTGTTCTAATGATATTTTAAATTTTTTTTTTTTTTAGTTTTTTTTTTTTCAAAGGTGCTATTCCTTTACAGCGTCCCCAAACTTTTAATAGAAATTTGCAATGTTCATGACCACTGTGAAACTAGTGTTTAGTTAGCAGCCATTCTGTATTCATTGACAAGGGAAGGAAAAGCAGAGAGGAATGGAGCGCTATCCTTCTTCCTTTGTGA